GCCCAGGCTCTAGCCCGCTCATGCATTGCCCTAGCAAGCAGGGTCGATTATTTAGTTTGTTTAAATAAAATTGCAATCGAACCATTCAAAATTTTAGTTAAATCAAACACACCAAATTAAGATTTAATTCGATTTAACGATTCGATTGTGGACAAATTAAAATTAAGTTACTTGGAGTTTAGTTATAAACAAACATAAGAAATTATAGATCTCACATCTATAATATCAATTAAATTTCATGAATCTTCCATTTTTATTTAAATTTTTTATTTTTGATTTGTTTGATTAAATGAAAATTATAGCCAAACTAATAATGGAAAACAGAATATTGTATTAAAAAAAATCAGAATTGGAATAGTCAAATTTACCCGATTTTGTCTGTTTTTTCAGTTTTGAACAAATAGTGTACATCCCTGCCAGTATGACGAGTGAGATTTTGAGATATGTGACGACTGACGATGCCGGACTCTGTAAGCCTATTGTTCGGACTACGACGATAGGAGTTTCAGTATATATATAATGAAATTTGGGTGTAGAATATATCAAAACTCAATGTTTTGTGTTCTGTGTATATAAATCTCTTGTTTTTTATGTTTAATTTTATAGAGAAATGAAAGGTCAAGCTTAAAAAAATAAATAGAAAATAAATTATCTAAATAATTATTATTGTGTTTAAAATAATTCACGGTGATGAAATAATAATATAACGTTAGCATTGTATGAAAATTTAATATACACACATAGAAGAAAAAAAAATAGTAGGACAAAAGATATCAAAGCTTTTTGTGAGAAAAATTTTGAAAAAGGAAAAAAATCATAAGACATGTCCCAATTAAAATGATCCACCATGAATTCATAAGTACAAAGTTACACTATTGTCACACAACTGAGAAGGGTTATTATGTTGCACAAAGTACACATCATGTTCGTACACAGTATATAAAAATGTACGTTGCATTTCAAATACAATGATAGTGAGCAGTTATTACCAGAAGTTATTGTCGGGTCTTCAATATACCATGTTTTGGATACGTTATTGCACTGTATTTGAGATATTTTGTTACTTTGTAGTTAGGATGCTTCGTTACTCAACATAGTTCGAGACCGAGACCTCATCCCCTATCAATCTCTTTGCTTCTTCTCTTCTATTTTCAATGTCCGAGACCTCATCCTATATGAACCAAGAAGCCAATTGGCTCATCTGAAAATGCGAGACGAGTCTATTCCCACATCCCTCAAGTTTTTTATGTCAAACATCAAATTAATAGCCAATGATCAACTCACCACTGAAAACTCCTAATCAAGAAACCCCAAATTTACAAAACTATTTAAAACCAATAGATTCAAGAGCTTCCTCGATGGAACCACAACCTACCCTCATCTCAATCTGCACCTCTGATGGCCAAGCTATCTTCATCCCTCAGTTCATACGTTGGCAACTTATTGATCAAAACCTCTCGCGGGAAATCTTCTCCGTTATATCCTCCAAAATAATGCACTTTATCATCATTCTCAAATCCACCAAGGAAATTTAGTAAACCTTTAATGCCAATAGTAGTCCGCTAACCGTTCCCGGGTTATCTAGCTCTGATATGAACTTCACCACATCTCCATGAAAAACAAAACCATGTCTCAATATCTCATAGATATACAATAGTAGTTCAATTAAGATAGTTATAATTGAGCTACAACATATGTAATTATTAGCTATAATAATAATAACTGGTCACAAAAATCATAGTTAAAAATTATAATAATGGTAGTTATCCAAAAAAATTACAGTTACTTGCTACAAAGGCAGTATTTTGTTATCACAGCTATAGTTGGTGGTTGCAAGAGCATCAGTCAACCATAGAGGCTATAGCTGGAGCTTGTAATTGCAATAGTCGCCCATAAAGGTTGTAGTCGGCTGCTACAAATGTAGTAGTTGGCTACAAAGATTATCGCGGTAGTTGCATCAGCGTTAGTTGCCCACATAGGCCATAACTGAAAGCTCTAACAATATTAGTCAGCAAAAAAGTCATAGTTGGTTTCTATAAAAGTGAGAACTAGTCACATATGTCATAATTCGAAATTAAAACAATAGTAGTTGGTCGCAAAAGCCGTAATTGATTACTACAAATATAATAATTGCTCATAAATTCTATAATCGAGAGCTAAAATAAAATTGAGTGGTTATAGAGACTTAGTTGGAAGCGATAGTATTAGTAGTTGGTCAAACAACTGCTATAGTCGATGGCTACAATATCATCAGTTGGCCACAGAGGCCATAACTAGAAGCTATAACAATATTAATTGATCACAAAAGTCGTAGTTGGTTGCTACAAAGGTGTAGTTGGCCATAAAGTTGTAGTTGCATAACATTAGTTGGTCATAGAGACAATAGCTGGAAGTTGTAACAATTGTATTGAACACAAAGGTCGTAGATGGCTGCTACAATGTTAGTAGTTAGTCATAAAGGATGTAGAGGTAGCAGCAATTGCGGAAGTTGACCACGTTGGCCATAATTGGAAATTGTAATAGGAGTAATCAGTCGCAAATGTCACAGTTGGTGGCTATAATAGCAGCAGTTGGCCACAGATGTCGTAGTTGGAAGCTGTAACAAGAGTAGTTAACAACAAATGTTGTTGTTGGTGGATACAAATGCAATAGTTGGTCATATGGGCTATAATCGGTTGCTACAATTGTGGTAGTTGGCCACACAGAACGTAGTTGGAAATTGTAACAACCGTAGTTCACAAAGCTTACTATCATTGGCTACAAAAGAAGTAGTTGGTCATAAAGTCTATAATCAGTTGATACAAAATCGACAGTTGGGTACAGAGAACGTAGTTAGAAACTATTATAATAGTAGTTCACAAAGGTTATTATTAGTGGATACAAAAGCAGTAATTGGCTATAAAGGCTATAATTGGAGGCTACAATTGCAGCAGTTGTTCACAAAGGCAATAATTTAATTAGAATGGTTGCAAGCAGTGGTCACCCAGTGAACACTACATGTAGGCCACCATCTGGTGGTCACAAGCCACTGACGGAGGTCTACGACGCTGATAGGGGGTGGTCAGTGGTGGCTGGCGGCTAAGAAGGTCGTTGGTTACTCGCTGAAACTTTAATATATATGTTAGGAGCAATGACCACATTCAAACCATGACATTTGCAAACAGAGGTTGCTAGTGGTTGGTGGAGGTGGGCGATGATGATCGACAATGGCCTACCTGTAGAGATCAACTGTGGTTGTCGGCTATGGAGGCTGGTAGTTATCGTCTGGTCTTCGATATAAGTGTTAGGCTTAACGATCATTTTTAGATTATGATGTTTGTAAAAAATTTCGTCAGTGGCAAATGTTTGGTAATGACGGGCGCTGTTGACCAACGGTGGCCTACGTGTAGTGATAATCGTGGTTGGTGGATATGGAGGTTGGTGATTATCGTCGTGTATTTGATATTAGTGTTAGGTTCAACAGTCGTATTCAGATTACAATGTTTGCAAAAAGGGTTTGTTAGTGGCTAATGGTTGGCAGTGACGGAGGCTGACGACAGATGGTGGTTCGCGGCTACAGAGGCTAGAGGTTATTATTTGGGTTTCACTATAGGTGTTAGACACAATAACCATATTCAAACTATGACGTTTGCAAATAAGGGTCGCTAACAGCAGGTGGCCGACGTTAGCAAGCGGTGACAACCGAAGGCGGTTGACAAAGATCGACGGGCAATGACCAATGCTGGTGGACGGCTACGAAAGCTAGTGGTTATCGTTGAAAGTTATCTCCAGAATAGGCTCTGGAATTTCTTTTCTTCCCCTTCCCCCCTAAGTGAAGAGAGAGAATCAATCTATAGGCTATTTAGACAAGTATTTTAGATTTTTGGCAAATAACTTCTCTAACCACATAATTAGACACTTCATATTGATTTCCTTTGATTATAGGATTTTTTAAATAATTTGAGTGAATAAATGACATCAAAATTAAACGATCTTTGACTTGTTGTATTCCTCTCGTCGAGTCGCTCGATTTGATTATAATATTTCAAATTTTGAGTTTATTTGATCATTCAATTGACGATCTAAATCCTCTGAAATGCTCTAATGGCTTGATCTGGGCTTGATTTCACTTAGATTAAATCAATTTTGCTATCGATTGGTTCATCTTATCGAGAATGTCAATTTAACTATAAATTGGTGAAACCAGGACTCTAGATGATCTTAAATTTAAAATTTGAAAAACCCTAATAAAAATACGTTGAGATCCGTGCTTCATAAAAAAAATTATTGGTGACACATCACTTTATATATATATAGAGAGAGAGAGAGAGAGAGGCTACTTGCATGATTTTTAATGCTCATAGACAACTTTTATTTATTTATTTATTTTTTTGGAAGATTTACATACATACCACGTAATACCTATGTATTTACTATCATTTCTAGTCAAGAGTTGAGCCAAAAACGTGTCATGTCTAACTCGAGCTCGACTTCTTTGTCAAAATGCAACTCGAGCTTTGAGCCCAAATGACAAATTTGAGCTCAGCTCGTAATTATGACAGCAAACTCACCAGTTGGCGCACTGGCTTGAACTAAAGTTGAACTTTTGACATGAGAGCTCATTGAAGAAGGCGTCCAAGCCATCGATGGCAAGAGGAGAAGAAGAAATGTCGCAGCAACTCGTTTGAAAAAACATAAATCTGTCTAGTGTCCGACTAGTCGAGCAAGCTCATGAACTAAAGAACCGAAATTTGACTAACTTGAACTCAAGCTTATTCAAGTGATCGATGACCAGAGAAGATAGAGAAGTGTCGTGTCAGCTCGCTAAAGAAAATATCAATCTCACTAGTTTGAACTTATGCACATTAATAAACATGTTGGAGCTTGCATTCTTTACAAACTTAACTCGCGAGCTCATTAACGAGTCAAATTCAAGCCAACTCAGCTCACTTACACCTCTACCACTAGCCAAAGGAAAACCAATCACCATATGATATCAAAACAAATGCTTTTAATATTCACACGACTCCTTAAAATTTTATTCAAAATAAAATTGAAGCATCAAATACACAGAACAAGAAGGAGAAGATTATTGTTAGATTTCATCATCAAAGGCCTCTTTCTCAGTAGATAAAGGAACAAGAAAACAATGAATGGCAGGTGTGACACCACTACTAGGTATTGTGACATTGTCCATCAACTTAGAAAGCTCTGTATCATTTCTTACAGCAAGCTGAATGTGCCGTGGAGTTATTCTCACCTTCTTATTATCCTTTGCCGCATTTCCAGCCAGCTCCAAGATCTTCTCAAATTTTGCAACCAAAAACAAATTTTTAGTGAATTCATGATTTTATGGGGTTGAAAATGAACAATGATTTTCCGGCGTAACCACTCTTTATTTATTGCATCAAGGGTCCTAATGCAGTTTTACATCATTACTCTAATTTGGGTCTGCCACGTGTACAGGTAGACCCCCAATTTAATACATGATAGGTCTGTTTGTACATATGACGACCCTGATTAGAGTCTTGATGGAAAAATATATCAAGACTCCTGATGTAATAATTGCTTTAAGATACAACTTGTAAGGAGATATCCTACATAATTTTTTTCTCTTCTGATGATTGTTAGGTAAGTTTTGAAGCTAGCAGCTAATCAGTAGGACAATTAACTTAATTATGAATTTAATTACTTACTAAGGTAATTAATTTTTGAAAATATATGAGATAATTCTAAATTCAAGAGAAAAAATCTTAAATTTATTCACGTATTTATAAAATTTATTTTGAAATGAATATAATAAACTATACATATTTCAGAATTAATTAATTAATGTGTAAAAAAAATTATGTAATTTAATCAAGAGAAAATGTGTCTCTTGACACCCTCTTACCATTTGTATCATTTTTTTATGTTACGTGTCTCTTTTTAATTCGTGCATCATGAACTAATTATTAAACAAACACAACAACACAAGTAAATTAATCTAATTCCCATTCTGAAATAGGTAGGAAAAGTGGAGAGAAAGACCTCAGCGGCAAGGTACTCGAGGACGGCGGCGAGGTACACCGGAGCTCCGGCGCCGATTCGGCCGGCGTACTTTCCGGCCTTGAGAAAGCGAGCTATTCTGCCGACCGGAAAACGGAGATCGGCTTTGCTGCTCCTTGACCTCTTAACCTTCTTCTCGGAACTCCGAGTTTCCTTCTCCTTCCTCCCCCTTCCCCTTCCCCTTCCCCTTCCCCTTCCCCTTCCGGCCATTTACGGGTTTCTTGTGCATTGGGTTCCGGCCATTGACGGGTTTCTGGAGCATTGGGGTTTACCTGTTTTAGATTTATAGGGTTGAAATTTTGAGGCAGATTGCAGGAGAAGCTAATGAGAGGGGGAGTGGGGACCACGAGGAGCTGTCAATACTCGGCGGCATCTCATTGGTTGACTCCGTTAGGCTGAAGGGTTCCTCCATGAAAAAGGAATAATTACATGCAGACCATCAAATGTATTAATATTTACAGATTAACCATCAAGGCGATTTTGTTAAGCTGCCGAACCGATGTGTTTAAGATTAGGGCTCTCAATTTGGCTCGTCGTTCGTGAATAGCTCATGTTCGACTTGTTAAGCAGCTCGTGTTTGTCTCGTTATTTAAGCCTAACCAGCCGAACACGAACAAATTTTTAAGCTCGAAATGTAAACGAGCCGAATAAGAACAACAGTTTGTTCGCTCGTGTTCGGCTCAAAATGACTCGAAAAAAAATTATATAACTTTTTATATAACTATATATTACATATATAATTTATATAATAATATATTATATATATTTATGTCTAAATTTAAATCATAACATCTCATGTGGCAATGTGGTTAGTGTCTTCTTTTATATATATTTGATCCAGGTTCGAATTTCACACTTTACATCTATTTTTTTTCAACTTTAGTTTAACGAGCCAATTTCGAGCCAAACAAGAACACAAATATTTAAATCAAACCGAACACGAACACTTGTCGAACACGAACACACTGTTCACGAACCGATTTCGAACACGAGCTATTTCTAACGAGCCGAACACGAGCCAAGCCTGAGCTCGCTCAACTCGGCTCGTGTTTCGTCCCCTCGCTTACAACCCTATTTACAATCGAATTATTAAAAATTCGATAAAAATGAAATTTAAAAAATAAATTAAAGAGGGTGATTGATTTGTAAATACTAAATTTCATGTGGTCTGTATCTAATTAACACTATGAAAATACTAAACTTTTTATCTTATTTATTTATTTTTAGTTTTGATGAATTTTATAAAAGTTATTTTGAAATAATATAATATAAATTTTAGTGAATGATACCTGCATTTCGCTGGCCTAGCTAATTTTTAAAAATATATTGTGCTTTATTTAACATTTTGCTTCGTAATTACTAATTTCTATTATATTTAGCGCCTAAACACTATTTTTAAAATATATATCACCCAAATTTTTAATATTGCTTCATAAGTATCAGTATTTTAAGGCTTAAAAAGTGAAAATTTTCTCTCAAATATGATAATATAGCATAAATATATAAATTAAATTTTAGTATTAGAGACATATGCATAGAAATTAAGTGGGATGCATGTAAATCTTAATTTTTGTGATTACTTCTTGCTCAAATTCAAACTTCTTCAAAATAACATAAATTTAAAGCAAATTGTTCGCTTAAAAACTTTAAAATTTTAAATTAATAAGAAAATTTATAGTTTGGAATTTAATTACAAATTTAAAAATTATTTAATTGGGTTTTTTACATATAGAAGGTCTTAAATAATTTTATTTACCTATAAAAACTTCTAAATATTAAATTTACGCATAAAGATGACTGCTCCTGCCCTCCATCTCGAAGCCTCCCTTCTTCGCAAAGCTTACCCCCTGTTTGGAGCAGCTGCAACTTATTGAATAATTTGTTGATAAGCTAGGTGCGGTGATTATTATAAATTTTTATTTTTTTAGAAAATTCAGACCGCTGCCTAAAAGCTGTCACCACACCTAAATAAGTGCGGTGTGAAAACACAACTTTCAACAGCCAAAACAACTACAAAAATATTTTTATTTATTTCAATTCAGCCCTTCAATTACGAAAAATAAGATTATGATATAATGTACTCTAGATCATCTTATTCTTCGGCGATTTCAGTGAAACAAGAGTTGGTGAAGATGAAGTTTAGGCGAATACGCTAGCTAGCGTACCAACAGCCAAAACAACAACAATTATGTAATGTTAGATGAATGATTGTGGTTGAATGACAACAATGAAGTGATAATTGTTGGATGATGATGGCCGAATAATGATAATTGAATGACAATGGTTGTATGTTGGTGATTGGGTGATATTGTTAAAGGAACGGTTGGATCATGGTAAACAAACTATGATGGTCGGCCGGTGACGATTAGATAAGGGTGGTTTGATGACAATGATTGAGCAATCACAATCAAATGATAATTAGATGACTGTAGTTAAGCTAAATTTCAAAGTTTTTAATATCAACATTTTTTCTCCAAACTCAAGTTTTTGCTCATTTTATATAAAGATTAAGCATCTATTTATAATATTTTAGAGCGATATTATGATAAATCCAGTCGAATTTCAAAACCACCTCATCGTATGACTTATCCTCAATCCCTTATAAATAGTGTTTCAACAATCGTTTGAAGGAGCTTTACCGTTCAACTGAGCATTTTTGAAAAAGATGTTGGTGGAATGGAGAAGGCCTCTGTGATTTAAAACGATGAAAAATTATCATTTTTGCTCGTCTTGAACTAGGTCTTGAACGAGTGGCCCGTGTCAAAGCTTCCTACAAGGACAAGGAGATGGATGGACTTTGCATCGTATTTCGCAATCATTAGTGATCCTTCTGAAATCGATTTTTTCGTATAAAATAAAATGGGCTCAATTGGTTCCTTGTAAATATTGATTAATTAATTATTTAATCAATATTAATTTCTAGAATCATTTGATTGAATAAATAATTTAATAGCTTTTGTTTTTTAAAATTTATTCTATGAAATAAATTAAAACCCTAAGATAAAATTTAAAATATTGAAAGTATAGTTTGGAATTTTGGGATATTAGTTGGAGGACCAAAAAGCTTCAAATCTTACATATTTAAAGTTTTGACTATTCTAAAAAGAAGTATTCTAAGAGCCCAAACATTTAAAATTTAATTTTCAATTAAGAGGATAACTTTGGACCATCTAATAGTGTGGTTTGATTGATAATAGTTCCTAACAAGTATAAATAATTCTTACTCTTTACTTTTAAGAGAGGCCTAGGCAGAAGGTTCGAGATAGCTCAAAAAGCCTACAAGGAATTTGAATTCTACATGCCGTCACATCTAGTTGTCGCCTCTAAATCATTGTCATCACAATGTACTTATCGAAACACCAGTGTCCAACCACTGATGTTTAACAATCGCCAATCATTGACTTCGAACTACCGTTGCACGACTATGAATCACCTAGCATCATTCATTTAAGGTGGTCCATCCTTTAGAACTCTCGACCACTTTCACTCAACTAAAATGACACAAAGTCATTGCCTAATTTTGGCCACTTGGCCACTGTTTCTTAACTACAAATCCCTAATCCCCCTTACACAATTATGGTCATCCTAGATTTTATCACCTGACCACAATTGCCCTTCTATGATCATCGGTTCACTAACGTCTTTTTATAATCCTTTGACCTCCATCACACATTTATAATTGTCTGATCACTGCCACCCGACTAAGATTGACTAACCATTATTGCTTTAGTATGATCTCACTGATTTCCATTGCTTAAACATGATAACACAACCACTCTCAGTTGACTACAGTTTCATGACAATACTATCACACAATTGCAATAGCCTTGATTTTCATCTCCTGATTTTTTACGCTCAACCACATTGTCAGAATATGATTTCTATTAACCCCTACTACGGATGTAATTAATCGAGCTAAACCAACTCGCTAGCCGACTCATATTCGGCTCACTATGTGGCTTGTGAATGGAGCTTGATGAGCTAACAAACTAAACTCAAGCCAGCCCCAACTAAACTCATTAGCTCATAAGCCGACTCATTTAAAATAATATATGTATTAAATATGCTAAAATATATATTAAAGTTCAAGAATCTATCTTTAAATTCTTAAAATATTTTAAAAAATGACATTTTATATTTTACAACATGTAAATTTTTATTATTTATCTAACAATTATTTTTTCTATTTGTCATTTTATTGTAATACTCGTTCAAATTTATATTGTTTCTCTCTTTCATAATAAATAAACTGGTATGTGAGTGATCAAATAAAAATATGTTGAGATTTTCATACCTATTTTATACTATTTTTAATGATATTGCACTTTAAAGAAATATATTTTTTATGTTTTGTTGCAGAAATGATGAATTAGAGTCATTGGAACAAAAAGATACAAAAAAAAAAAATTTGGAGCGAAAAGGACAAAAATGTGAAGATTTGA